AAAATACTGTTTGAGTACTAGTTATAGCATTAAATCACAATGTACAGCACATTAAGGACAGAGATCCTACATGAGGAGTAAGTGCACAGTGACTCCTGTTGTTGACTTAACAAATTGACACTCTTGTTTATGGCATCAGTAATCACCCTAGGCTCTTGTCATGAGTTGCCAAGGCTATGGAAGCCTTTTGAGTTCACCAACTCTGATCATATTTAGACAAGGTCACAGTCAAAGTGGAAGTGCCACATTTTGGTCAGATGTCAGAAGACAGGAGGAGAGAAGAAGTTAGGTGACAGCATTTATTGGAATTTCTGAGGGAAGCAGTTTAGGATTAGCTAGATTGAATAATCCCCACAGGCTCTAAACCATGAGAGTGGTCCTAGGCAAAGAATATTATTTCTTGGTGTCTAAGGGCCTTATAAAAAAGGTATGCCTCTGATTGGTTAGTTTGCATATCAGAGGTATTCTCCCAGGTGAGCCCTTCATTCTGACTTGACTAGCTTCAGGAGCAACAGTCTCTCAGGGAAAGCAATCAAAGATATCAAACATGATAATGTTCTAACAATCAAATACATTCCCCTATAGTATTTAACTTGATTCTATTCAAGGGAACCAAGAAGGACATGAAGAGTGGGTGGTGGTGGTGGTGGTGGTGGTGGTGGTGATGGTGGTGGTATTTTCCTTACTGATCAAAAATAAATGATAAGGAAGAACAAGAAGAGACCACCTCTCCCCTCCCAGCCCCTTTCTCTCTGCTTGGAATGATGTGATGTCAGAGGAGGAGGCCTGGAGCTGTGGTGGTATCTCACACTGTGGAGGGGAGACAGCACTCACATGCTGAAGATGAGGAGGCAAAGGGTGGTGAGAGTCTGCATGCTGATGCTGTTGCTTAATGGAAATATCCACCCTCTAATTTCTCTTTGTATTTATGGTGATAGGAAATAAATTCATTTACTTCAGCATGCTGATATGTATAGCTGAACATTTCCCAGGTGAGACATGCACAAATGTTGACACATTTCTGGGATAGTAGCAAGTCATTTTGGATGCATTCATATATTGAGAAGCTGTATCTGTAGAAGGAAGAAGGAAAGTTCTCTGACTTTAGGCAGCTTTGTGAAATGATCATTTTATATCTGATTCCCATCAACAAATTTGGCAATAACCACACGAACATGAGAAATTCAAGGTCTACATTATAACGGACCTTGTGCTTTTGAATATTGCTGATACTAGAGAGCAAAAGCAAAATAAAAATTGCTTTTCCTCATGCCTGCATTGTAGCACAATAAACTTGGCCTCTGCTGGCAGCACTGGCATCCCACATGGGCACCAGTTTGAGTCCTAGCTGCTCCAGATCTGATCCAGCTCTCAGCTGTGGCCTGGCAAAGCAGTGGAAGATGCTTGGGCCCTTGCACCCATGTGGGAGAACCCAGAGGAAGCTCCTGGCTCCTGGCTTTGGATTGGCTCAGCTTTGGTCATTGTGGCCATTTAGGGAGTGAACCAGTGGATGGAAGATCTTTCTCTATGCCTCTCCCTTTCTCTCTCCATAATTGTTCCTCTCAAATAAAAAATATCTTTTAAAAAATTGCTTTTCCTATGTCCAGTCTACATATAATAAAATGTGAATTACAACCTACGAAGTGATGGTTTTCGGAGAAGCAGCGTTTGGGAAGTAATTACGTCATGATGTTGAGAGCAACAGAACAGGATTAGTGCCCTTAAAGGAACCCCAGTGGCCAGGAGTTTGGCACAGCAGGTAAAGCTACCATTCACAGCAAAGGCATCCCAAATGGGTGCTATTTCGAGTCCTGGCTGCTCTAGTTCTGATACAGCTCTGTGTTAATGGCCTGAGAATAGCAACAGAAAATGTCCCCTGCCATCCATATGGGAGACCCAGAAGTTTTTGGCTCCTGGCTTCATCCTGGCCCAGCCCTGGCTGTTACAACCATCTGAGGAGTGAACCAGTTGATGGAAGATCTCTCTCTGTCTCTCTTTCTCTGCCTCTATCTCTGACTTTCAAATAAATAAAAAGAATCCCAGATAGCTCTCTTGCCCATTTCCCCATGCAAGGATACCACAAGAAGACAGTGGCCTAGAACACAGAGGACTACCCTCAACACAACCAGCTACTCTGGCTCACTAACCTTGGTCTGCCACCCTTGAGAACGGTAACAAATAAATTCCTGTCATTTACAAGCCACCCAGTCTAGGGTACGTTATGATAGCAGACTCTATGGACTAAAATAGTTTAAGTTTCACTTTGCCCCCCACAGAAAAACCTCTCAGGTATCTTAACTCTTTCCATCTTGAATCCAGTTTCTTATAGAATGGCTATTGTTTGGACCCTGTAACAGCATGAATGGGAGAGGGACGGTAGGTCACTGGCAAAAGCCAGAAAATGAGATTGAGAGGATAAACAGCCAATCAGTAAGACCTTCCATGGAGAGAGCTGTCAGGGTTAGGCCAATGCCTATCTGGAAAGGCAGTGCCATTGCTGTTCACCATAGATTATGAGGAGCAGCAAAGCTGAGCAAAAACCCTTGGGCTGTGCAATCCAAGGGCACGATACATACTGTGGCATTAAAGACTCCAGTATAAGAGTAGTGAGGAATCTAGCAGTGTTTCCTAGAACATCCAGGACAGAAGAGAAGACTGTTCTACTCTCTAACAGTATTTAGCACCTTGAACACATCTGGGAACATGGATATTTCAATTATGGTAATTTGGTATGATTTAGAATATCTTCACGTCCTCTGACAAATTGCCCCTCTGCCCTCTGGCAGACATTACATTTCTTAAGCTTAAATCTCAGTTCCCACATATAAATTTATTGGTGAGAGCAGGTACTTTATACCAGTATAAATGCATGCATTTTTTTTTAATGAGAATGTCTAGGTTTTACCTCTAGATTCAGCAGGGGAGGGTGAATGGAGACCCGGAAATCCAGGTGATTCTGATGTAGGTGGTTCTAGGACCACACTTACCTAAGAAGCATGGTTTTATATGCTGTGGTATGAATGCAGGTCCCAAGGATAAGTTTGCATAAGAAAGCCTTCTGAAGTTTCCCAGTACTGCAGAGGGAGACATGAAGTGGTGGAGGGACATTATATACAAAGAAATTAAGCTGTAAAGTTTATAGCACTTAATCCACCACAAAGATTTTTCCAAGGAAGTCAGGAAGCATGATCTATAACTTCCAGAAAAATTTTCTATTGCTAGTGGATTTGAAAATTTGAAGCTAAATAGAAGCTTGGGTTTCTTGTTTGTCCATTATTTAATATTCAAAGTCACCTCCGCTAAGACTTAAGAGAGCCGCAGAAACTCCAGTACAAGACTGTGTCCTGTGTCCAGCCCTGAGGAATACTTTCAAGTAAAAAACTGAAGAACACTCAAAAAGGAGACGGGGACCAGCTGGAATTTATTTCGGTGTATCAGCTTGACACAAACATGGGTGAGGGCCAGATATGGATTGGTGACTCACCCACATCTAGATGCAGTCTGTGTACAATGTTTTCATTTCCGCTTCATGGAAGCAAATCTGAAACCTTCAGTCAAACCATGTAATTTAATTTCTTGTAACAAAAAGTGACCTACCTCCTAAAATAGCTTTAAAAAGTCCCACTTTGACTCTTGGTTAGTTTAAAACCTAGTTTAAGTACTTTTAATTTAATTCTAGCATAAAAAAACTAAAAATGGTGATATTTTGCCTCTAGGTAATTCTTTGTACCATGTGCATTGTTTTTAAATAAGAATGATTTAAAGCATGGTTAATCTTCAGTATTGCATAATCCTTTCAAAATAGACTTTGGGTATTGCATTTTTTTGAAAGCCAGTGATATTACAGCCTGAATGTCTGCACTTTAGGGGGTCAGGAGAGAACAGAAGAATCTGTCAGCTTGTGTCTGTAGCTAGCTATTCCTTGAATATTCATTTGGTAGAGGTGTTGTATCACTATCTGCAGGCTTTCAGAAAAGGCAGGAATTAAAATATGAAAGGCTTATGCATCAAGATGTTCTTGTTTGATGTAAAATCAGTTAATAGGAAAATTCTTCCTGACTACAGCAGTCATATGGATATTCCTATACATTTTACCATCCATACCAAAGAGGTCATCTTCCTATACAGCAAGACCCAGGGATTCCTGGCTGTCATCAAGGCTTCTGGATGACAGAAGATGTACATTTTGGGGGAAAGATATTTCAATTATTTATTGAGTAATTACTGTGTGCCAGCTTGAGATCTGTGAGACCAACATCTACCTGTGACTTTTACTAATTCATATCACCCTTTGAAACATTTTTTTGCTCCAATATTTTTTTAAGATTGACTTATTTATTTCGAAGGCAGAATGAAAGAACAAGACTGAAAGAGATCTTCCATCCACTGATTCACTCCCCAAGGCCTGTGGCCTGTAACAGCTGTGGGGAGAGGAGGGCCCAGACTAGGCCGAAGTCAGGAGCCATGAACACCAGCCTAGTCTCCCATATGGGTGGCAGGAATAAAAGTACCTGGACCAATATCTGCTGCTGCCCAGACACAACACAGAAAACTGAATTAAAAGTGCATTGCAGGCCGGCGCCGCGGCTCACTAGGCTAATCCTCCGCCTTGCGGCGCCGGCACACCGGGTTCTAGTCCCGGTCGGGGCGCCGGATTCTGTCGCGGTTGCCCCTCTTCCAGGCCAGCCCTCTGCTGTGGCCAGGGAGTGCAGTGGAGGATGGCCCAGGTGCTTGGGCCCTGCACCCCATGGGAGACCAGGAAAAGCACCTGGCTCCTGGCTCCTGCCATCGGATCAGCGTGGTGCGCCGGCCGCAGCGCGCCGGCCGCGGCGGCCATTGGAGGGTGAACCAACGACAAAAGGAAGACCTTTCTCTCTGTCTCTCTCTCTTACTGTCCACTCTGCCTATCAAAAAAAAAAAAAAAAAAAGTGCATTGCAGGGGCCAGCGCTGTGGCACAGTGGGTTAAAGCCCTGGACTGAAGTGCTGGCGTCCCATATGGGCGCCGATTTGAGATCCGGCAGCTCCACTTCCAATCCAGCTTTCTGCTATGACCTGGGAAAGCAGTAGAAGATAGCCAGAATTGTGGTCAACTGGGGAGTGAACCATTGGATGGAAGACCTCCCTCTCTGCCTCTCCTTCTCTGTGTATCTATTTCAAATAAATAAATAAATCTTAAAAAAAAAAAAAAAAGTGCATTGTAGCCAGGACTTGAACTGGGCATTCAACCTGGGTGCAGTTGTTGCAAGCTGCAGCCTATCATACTGTGCTACAACATCCACCCCCAAGTCCCCTTTAACCCTCAGCATGTTCATTAAGACAAATGAAGAGAATTGAGGTGGATTTCGACCAAACTATATCCTAGCTCAAAAATTCAATAATCTGAAAGAGCTTGCAATCCTTGTGAACTGGCAACAAGGGCATGTTTGTTTGTGGGCTCTGATTTCAAGAAGAAAATCTGACTAATGACAGATTTCAAAGGATGGACATAATCCTTCTATCAAGATCTTCACCATTCCATTATGCTTTGTAATTATAGGGGATTTGCCATCATCTCTTTAATCTAACTAATTAAAAATGACACTCAGCCAATCCTAGTGGCAAATGCTTTTTCATTTTGCTGCACTATATTCAGTTAGAAATAAATGAAGAAATTAGTGTCAGTAAAATACATTTCTCTGGAAGACAAAAGGGATTTTTTTTTTTTTTGCATTTTAGCAGGGAAGCACTAAGATTCCAAAACTAGGTAATTATGGGACAAGATCGCAGAAAAGGATCATTTTAATATTCTGAGATGAATGTGCCGAAATGTTAAGCTAGAACTACCAACGAACAGTCTTTGTAAAGTCTCCACAAATTAAAAAAATAAATATATAAAAAAGGATCTAGCCTTGTGGCATTGTGGGTTAAGACATTGCCTGCAACACCAGCATCCCAAATGGGTGCCCTTTAGTTTACTGGCTGCTCCACTTCTGATCCGGCTCACTGCTAATTGCCTGGAAAAAAACAAGGGAATATGGTTCAAGTCCCATGTAGAGGACCTGGATGAAACTTCTGGCTCCTGGCTTTGACCTAGACCAACCCTGGCTGTTGTGACCATCTAGGGAGTGAACCACCCAGCTGAGTGAAGATTACTCTGTCTCGCTCTTTCTTTCTGACTTTTTAAATAAATAAATCTTTAAAAAAATAATGGAGAGGCTATGCAATTTTAATGGTATGTTTCAAAGTAAAATAGAGAATCCTGTAGTGTTTTAACCAGTCTTCAATGTCAAGGAGAAAAATCTATTCAAGAATATCATTGATTAATTATAGAATGTTTTGTTTTCTACTACATTATTTTTAATTTTTATTTATTTATTTGACAGGTAGAGTTACAGTGAAAGAGAGACAGAGAGAAAGGTCTTCCATCCAATGCTTCACCCCCCCAAAAATGGCCACCACAGCTGGAGCTACACCAATCCAAAGCCAAGAGCCAGGTGCCTCCTCCTGGTCTTCCATACAGGTGCAGGGGCCCAAGCACGTGGGCCATCCTCCACTGCCCCTCCAGGCCACAGCAGAAAGCTGGACTGGAAGAGGAGCAACTGGGACTAGAACCCGGTGCCCATATGGGATGCCGATGCCGCAGGTGGAGGATTAACCAAGTGAGCCACGGCGTCAGCCCCTTTCCACTACATTATTTTCTTAAATTGGTTTTAGCTTATTTAAATATAGGTAGGTAGAATGGATGGGTGGATGGATCCAAGATTGATGGATGGATAGATAGAAAAATGTAAAAATTTCAGTAAAATCCTAGAAAGTAACACTTAATAAAGTGAAAATTTTAAATATCATTTTGGATCTCTGACTTTGGTATAAAACTAAAAATAGTTCCCAAATAGTCATGATATTTCCCCTTAAGTTTAAAAGAAGTTTGTTTCTGGAACTAGTATAAATTTAATCAAACTGAGAAAGAAAATTGAAGAAGCAAAGCAAGCTTATAAAATTGCTCTCTGGAGAGCCTTGAATCCTAGTGTATTTGGAAAAAAAAATGGTTAATACATTCTCTGCTTTTGTTATTATTGATTCTATTACTTCCTACTGTCTGATGATCTCACCTCAATGGTAAGGTCACACATGGCAGCTATTTCAGATTCCCTCCATGACATCTCCACAGCTGCACCCCGCCTCTCCCCTATTCTTCCTTGTGCACAAGAAGTTTCCCCTCTCACAAAGGCCAGTACATGAAGCGATGTCGAAGGTTATCCAAAACACTCCTCTCTATTGAGAAGAACATGTAAATTTTGTCTTAGACACAGCAGGTTAAGTTGCCCCTTAGGACACCCATTTCCCATACTGGAGTGCCTGAGTCCTAGCTAATCTGCCTCAGATCCAGCTTCCTGTCAAGGCCCATAGAAGGCAGCAGATTATAGCTGAAGTGCTTAGGCCCGTATCACCCATGTGGGAAACCTGAATGGAGTTCCAGGCCACTGGCTTTGATGGGTTCAGTCCTGGCTTTTGCAGGCTTTGCGAAGTAATTCATGGATAGAAGCTCTCTCTCTCTCTGCCTTTAAAGTAAATAAAAATAACTTTAAAGGAGTTCTGGGGTTCCACTGCACATTAGAGTGACTATAGCTCATGTTAATGTACTGCATATATTTCTATTTAAAAAAAAACTAGGAAATATAATTTTTAAAGTTTTCACCATAAAGAGATGTTCAATGTTTGAGTAGACAAATATATATTTATCCTGGTTGGACATTATACAATAAATACATGTATCAGAACATCACATAGTACCCAATAAACATGTACAATTTCCTAAAATTATTTAATTGAAAGGCAGAGAAAGAAAAAAGGATAGAGTTCTCATCTAGTGGTTCATTCCCCACATGCCCCAAGAGTTGAGGCTAGACAAGGCCAAAAACAGAAAATGAGAACTCAATCCATATCTCTGTTGAGGGTGGCAAGAACCCGCTGCCTCCTGGGACTCTAACCTTGCACTTTGATATGGATTGTGAGCACCCCAAACAGTAGCTTAACCACTGTGTCAAATGCCTGCCCTTGCATAATTTTTATGTCTGATAAAAAAAATTAAGA